CAAATAATGATTTGGTCCTCATAAGGCACCAACCCCACTACGAGTGGTAGAAAAAAATTCAAATCCACACGGAGTAAGAAACGCATCTACCCACCTGAGATACCCAGTCAACGGCCACCTATGGTCATCTAAACACCCACAAGAGATACCATAACCAACCAATTTCTTCAGATCACAAGCCAATCCAAAATTTCTAAATTTCACATGTAATATTACAATAGAACCATTTAAGAAAATATGCAAGAGATCATCACAAATACCATTTTATGGTTCAATATAAAGTACTAAAGTTTTAAAATCAAGAACAAAGGAAAAATCAAGAGAAAAATCCCTTTCTTCTGAAAATTACGGTTTGAAGATGAGAAAAAGGGCTTTAATGGTTACCTAACCATAACATTGTTTAAAACATGATAATAATTGCATGAATAACAAGAATCAAAGATTTTATAGCATACATATATGATTTAGAGTTAAAAATTACATATAAATATAAGCCCTAACCTCAATGTAAGTGTGAAACCCGGAAAAAAAAAATTTTAACTTTTTCTGAAAAAAAAAAGAGCAAAATGGTAATTTGCCATTATAGTGCGGGTTAAAAATTGGTATTTTTATAGACCTCGGATGATGAAACGGACCTCGCTGTTGGATTCATCTCACGAAATTTAGTTACCCAGACAAATTTCATCAAATTCTGAGATAATTAGATTTTTCACATTTTTCGATGTGACGGGTGTTCGATGACCCATAAAAACGAAATTTTTATAAAAATTTTAAAAGTTGAAAAATATTTTAAATAAAGTTCATATAAAATATTTTGAGTTTAAATCGGTACAAAATTTAATCATTTCGGGGCGAAAACGGACCCGGACAAAGGACGACACTTGGCGCGACGAGGGCCAAGTGTTTAAAAAGTATAAAAGTTGGCAAATATCTGAAAAATCAGATGTTTTATCTTCATTTGGCCGGCTGGATCAGACCCAAGGGCAAAGAAGAAAAAAAAAATAATTCTTCAAACTTTCTTCCGCCGATTCTCAGAGTTCCGTCGGTCGGAATTCGTCGGGCCAAGAATTAAATTCGATCTACGCGACGAGAGCTACGTGTGGGTACCAAAAACAAAGATTTTCACCGAAGATTCAACGGGAGGATTTTGGAGAAATTTAAGTTTTGGGCTTGAATCTTGTTCTTGAGGCTTCCTACAAATTCTTTACGCTTCAAGAGGTAGGGTTCCTCCCACTCGGACCTATTTCTAACCTAAGGTGTCCATAGGGTTCATGTGGGCTGTTTTGGTTATTTCTAACATTTTTCCATTATGGTTGGTGTTATGGAAATGGGTAGGATCAATTCTAGTGTGAATTGATAGTTAGAAAGTGCTAGTTTGTGATTTCTAGAATGTTTTGATAATTGGTTATATAAAAATCATATATTCTGATTTTTATTTTGTTTAAATGATCCATATAAAATCTTGACTTGATTTTGGTATATTGAAGTATTTATGTAATCCCTTGGAAATTGGGATCATGTGGGCATACTTTGTGTTTTATATTATGCCTTGTAAATGAAATGTAATATTAGCATGTATTATGTGTTATCATGTTGATGGAGTGTTGATATATGCTCTTGGATATATTGAACTTGAAATAGTTATGTGATTATATGCAAATGATATTAATTGTCATGATATACAATGATATGTAAAAATTATCATTTGACATGCATTGCAATATGGACATGGAATTAACATCACATTCATGGACTACATGCATGAGTGTGGGTGTAGGGTTGCATGGGGTGATCAACACCAACATTGGTGCTTGATGGTAGGCTCGGGAAAGTGGGATGGAACGTCCTACGGAGTCGCACGGTGACATGCATAAGAAAACTTGTGTCGGGTATAGCAAGTAGGGCTAGACACTCCCTCGGGTAAAAAACCCGGCCACTTGGTTCATACACTTACCGGCGGTGAAATTTCAGAAAAGTGTAACGGCGTACGGAGCCGGAGGTGCGATTCCTGAATCCGATACCCCATAAAGGCACATGATTTTGATATATAAATTATTCATTTGATGGAAAACATCCAAGAATGAATTAGTTTTATGACATATGGTTGATTTCAAAATGATCTTTGGATGTGTTTCATCAAAAACGTTTGTTTTACACGTAAGTGTCGCATTGTGTTGTGAGAGTTAGTGTGGGCTCAGGATAACATGCATGAGTGAGTTCCATCTCATTACTTGGCATGACATCATGATTTTCTAACATTGTATTATATGTTATTGTTGGAGGGAATACTTGTTGTGAAATGTTGCATATATACATTGCATATGCATTTTAGGTGATAAGTAGCCTCTGTAGGGATTATTCTACTGGGCATTGGCTCACCCTATATGGGAAACATTTCAGGTGTGGGTCATGCACCAATGGACGACTCACAATCAGGGTCACATGGTTGAAAAAAAGCCGACTTGTGGCTTCCAATCCATTTTTTTTTGTAAAAGTAGATTTGTAATTAAACTTTGGCATGTAATGTGTAAAGGAATTGTAATAAAGTCTGTGTAGACTGTGTTTAATATAACCCTTGCATATTTTGATATAAATATGATGATTGAACCCAGTGTGGTCAAGTTTTACGTATAAAATAGACCCTGTGTGGTTATTGTATTATATTGGACCTCGGATGGGTCATGTAAATGTTGATTGCACAGATTGTGTTTTGGGGTAGAGCTTTCCGTACAAAGGAGACTCTGTCCGAATTTCGTTAAATTCAGTAAATGGGACACAACAGTGCGATATTGAGTTATACGGTATCCACAGACATTCCGTGGGTTGATGGAAAATTAACGGACCCCATGAATTTGGGGTGTCACAGTAAGAGAATAGGAAGAAACTCCTACCTTGAATCAAATGTTCCAAGTAAAGTCTAAGCTCTAGAGGCCTCATTTCTCCCTTTTCTTTCTTCCCTAATCTTCCCCTAGGTTTCTAAGAGAGATGTGGTGAGAGTGGAGTAAAAGAATGGAGGAGAATGAGATGGAAATGGTGTTTTAAAGCCAGCCAATCCCGAATTTTACTATTCATAGGGCCAAAAATTATATTTTTCTCCAAAATTATGATTTTTTCATTAAATATCTCCAATTTGATCCCTATGACTTCCCTAAGGTTTTTAGACATTACGGTTTCATTTTTAATGTTATTTTAACCTAAAAATATTTAGTTTTATGATTAATCTTTATACTAACATAATTTACACTTGAAACACTAAAATTACTATTTTATTCGTCCGAACCGCTCTTAATAAAGGTTTAAATCGATTGACCCATCCGAGGTCCAACATACCATCCTTGGTACTCTATCATTGTCCATTTATAACATTTGAAAGAAAGAATACTTAGTCCCAAAGCTTTGGCAACATAGGCACTAGTACCCACACCATTAGGTGACAGTACTTTGGTTTTTCTCCTTTTTAACCATGATCCACTTCGAATATGAAGAAGAAAAAATCATGAAAGTTGTAGATTTGGATTACCTTTGTATTGTGTCAAAATTTCAGCTCAATCGGACGGTTGGATCAAAAATTATGACAATGTTACGAAAACTGGTCTAGAGCAGACAGTACCAGTACACTTTAGCTTCTGGTGTTCACAGTACCGGTGCCGGTATGCTGCCTAGAACGCCTAATTTTTCATTTTCAATCTATTCCAAACCCTTCCAACACCAACCCAAACTTATACAACATAAATTTGTTCATCAAATATAGTTGGTACAAGTTCTATTACAAACGATTTCATATATTTATCCGAGTTTTACAATATTAGCATTTCAAAAAAGAAATGATTACTCGTTATATAAAGATAAGAGTGTGGGGGAGAGTTTATCTAAAAATTAATTTGTCCAAAACTCAAACTTCATGATCAATCTTTCAACAATAATTCTAAGTTTATACCACCATTTTATTCATCTTAGGAGAAACCTTAATATAATAGTAACCTTATTTAATTTTTACTACGGGGTCTTACACTAACCTCGTTAAAGCATATTGCATTTAAATTTGGAATTGCAATTTGAGTATCCGAACTCAACTTGGAATATTTAGTTCTTGTATAAAGGCTTCTAACATATGGCTACAGCTTGACAAAAACTTCCCAATTAAATTTAATGGTGGAATTTACGTGGGTGAGCAGAGGGTCGATATTATGCTTGATAACCTAGGACAGAGCTCCTTGGCTTGTGAGGTTCGTAACAAGGAACTTCAAAGATTTGGAGAGGGGATTACACAGTGAAAATATAGTGGTTCACTAATTCAGAAATTCGGTTAATCCACTCTTTAATGGAGATTCTTTCTCCTATTTATTCTATAGATGTGGATGAAGGTTACAATTTTTCTCCCAGGAAATCTAGGCCTCTCTATTATTGGAGGCGCTACACAATATTTATAGAGTTGTTCTTTAATTTGTGGGACCTCTACCGAGATCCTAGTCTTTCACCCTTAAAATTCTCCTTAATTTTTTGGAGAATATCTTGGTTAGGTAAAAGTTTTGCCCCTTGGATATGACTTTCACCATTTACAGGGTTCCAGCTCACATCCAACTATTCTTTTATCGTTTTTGTTGTTGTCTCGTTTGGGAGGAGATATGACTCCGATCATCTGAGGTTTGTGTTTGGCCCGATCTCCTTGTCTGACCCGCGCATCTGAGCCCATTCTTTGGAAATTATTTCACGCATCATCTTTGAATTGACGAATTTAAGTTCAAACCTGAATTCAACGTAAAATTTAGCTCATGGGTATAGCTCGAGCATCAAATTTCAGTTAATATCGGTTTAATTTGAGTTAAACCTTAATTCAACTCGTTGAATCAGAATTAATTTTCCAACTTACACAGTCCTACGGAATCTTTATCCACTGGCCAACCCACTGTCAGAGTGCAACTCTCGGGCAGAATCGGCAAAGTGTAAACAGAGAACATAAGCTCTGTTTCCGTTTTGATCGAAGCAAGCCCTTTCCCAAAATGGCCGATCAGCCCATTACTTCTCGTCCTCCATCTTCTCTCCCAACGGATCGGATTCACGTGTTCTGGCACGAGGGTATGCTCAATTATGATACTGGCATAGGCGTATTTGATACCGGAATGGACCCTGGTTTTCTTGATGTACTGGAAAAGCACCCAGAAAATGCTGATAGGGTCAAGAACATGCTCTCTATACTCAAAAGGGGTCCTATTGCACCTTTCATTTCCTGGCACTTGGGTAGACCTGCTGTGATATCAGAGTTGCTCTCTTTCCACACTCAAGGTATACTCTTGCTCTGCCCTTATTTCTATTCTTTTTACTTTTTATCATTACCCATGTAAAAAACTTAATAGTACGTAGCAATACAACCAAATGATAAAATTGACAGAGAAAGCAATAACCATGTGTAAAATCTGAGTTAATAGGTGGTACAGACTCTGCATATATTACTAGAAGGAAGGTGATAAATGTCTGTGTGAATATCTACTCGATATTGCAAAAGCCTTTGTTGAGAGGAGAATACAGTCATTTGATTGCGGATATATGATTATTTTGTGGAATATGGTTTTATAGGCATTAGGTGAAGAAGATAAGATGGAGAGGCTATGTCTCAGTGAGAGAATCCGAGGAGCCTGTGATAATTTGATTCACTTCAAGGGGAATAATCCTCCAAGTTTTATTGATTTTCTTCCTGCCCAAAAAACAGGTTTACAAGCTAATTTAAGGAAAAAAAAAGACTTCCTAGACTAGGCTCCTTTGTCAATCACAACTCTTGGCTACATTTACTGTCCTAATCTAACCCAATTATTCAAAACCTATCCTGAATCTTGATAGATACACTCAAATCACTTGATCTCTAGCAATCCAAGAAGTGAAATAGGCAAGAGTGGAACCTAAGACCTAGATCACTAGAAGGACTCAAAACACATCAAACTAGGCTGCCATGCTAGGATCTGTTGGGATATTGCATTTAAGCTTGAGCATTATCCTAAGATTCCTAATAAAGATATAGACCTTTGATAAAACATATCGAATTCCTTTTTTAGTCTTGAAGTCTAAGGCTGACATAGTGGCCAAAGAATTGACTCAGATTGATTATGACTATTTAGAGAAGCTCTCGCATAGAATGGTCTAATCCTCCTATCACCGGTGCGTATGATAACCGGAAAGATGCACCATGGCGATTACTCCTCGCCAACTGCTTTGAATCCGAATGGCTTTGATAACTTTTTTTTTATTTGCAGCTTTGATGGACTAAGTTTCTTTGGGTTGGATTCCTTAGACTCGGCTACAGTGTCGAAGGTTCCTTTTGTTTTTCAAGTGCATTTGGTTTGATGGTGCGCATCGTTGTCATAATAAGCAAAAGAAACGAACCTAAAGGAAGAACTCCGAATAGTCAAGGATGAGGGTTGTGTCTTTAAGATACCTTCTTTTTACAAAGTTCGTGAATGCACTAATTGAACTCTCAATAAGAAATCTAATCTTTTTAGCCTTGGCCTAGGAATCTTGGTAGCCTATTGCTCCTTGGGAAGGAGAATCTCTCACTAAGCTGACCAAGTCTGGCATCTATAGCTTGACTCTGTCAGAAAGTGAATCCAATGAAACTCTTCTAGTTTGGATCGCTGGAGGTGATGATAAGGATGGATACCTAGACTTATTGAATTGTCATCTAGAGATCGATACCTAGTCATTATCTGTGTCTACACCAGTATAGTCATAGATAAGACTAAAAGAAGAAGCCCTAACCATATACTCTCTAAGAATAATCCTATGATTAGAATGTGGACGATGGAATGAGTGGTCAAAGGTAATGGCATCAGTACCAAAACCTGTAGATGGAAAAGAGTCGGTGTAGGTGAGGCTAGGATCCTCAAATAGGTCTTTTAAAGAAGCTAGTGCTGACCCAAAGTGCAACCTATTTTTTTTTTTTTTGGGGGGGGGGGGGGGTTGAATTAGGTTTACAAAGCAATTTTTCAATTAAAAAATTAATTTCACTCGTTTTGAAGTAAAACAACCTATATGATAATTTCAAAGGTAGATGACAATGATAAAGTATGTTTGCGAGTAAATAAGAACAATATAAAGTAAAGGGAGTGAGAGAGAGATCAAACACAATGATATATATAGGTTCGGCCCTAACACTTTGGCCTATGTCCTCTCTTCCTTCTCCTCTTGGAGATTCACTTCCTCTTTCTTGAATCTCTTCAATAGGTGAGATTCCAACACCTTTACACTTGTTCTTCCTTGAGTACAAGACAAAGATTTCTCTCTTACAAGATTCACTCAAGAAGAATATAATAATCAATCTCTATCTTCAAATCAATAATAGAAGATAAGAAAAATAGTTGATCTCTTAAAAGCTTACAATAACTCAACAAAGAATAAGATCTCCTTTGACTTTTAGCTCATAAGTTCACATGTGCAAGAAGGACCCTAAAATGTTTTTGAGACTTCTATTTATAGTGGAGGTCAAAGAAGGATTAAAATGCTGAATCTCAGTAAATTTGAATCAACTACTGAAGCCTCATCCTTTGTATCGGATTATTACCGTTGCGTTATAATAGCTACATCTAGTATACCAGTTTGTCAAACTTCTTCATGGCTTGGCCAGATACTAGAAACTTCCGAGGTTTGCTGGTTCCCCAACTGGTAAGCCGGCTTGTCAGAGAAGTTTTGCCGGTTCATTGGAGGATATGAGGTGAAGATACTACAAGCGTTTCTATGTCGCTTCCTCCATACCTCGGTGTTGCCACAACACCTACACTAGCCTCATAGTCTTGTCTCACAAAACTTACTCCCGACCATCCATGATACACATTAGTTCCTCCTCAAAGGTCTCGTCCGCATCAACAGTTAACTCAGCTTAATGTACCACATGTGTCGGATCTGGAGTATATCCACTACATGTATCGGATCTGGAGTATACTTCTGGAGCATAGAGACATGGAACACTAAATGAACACCCGATAAATTTGGCGATAACACCAACTGGTAAACCATTGTACCCACCCTCTTGAGTACCTCGAAGGGCCTGATAAACATCTGCAACAACTTCTAATTATATTTTTGCTAGAAGACGATCATCACTTCTTGACCCCTAAACCAAAAAAATAATATAAAAAGTAGGCAGGAGAGCCATTCATAACCTACAAGATGGGTCATCCTTCCAGCAACCACCAATCAGTATTGTTGTTGCATTATCCAATAAACAAAGATTTAGAAAATTATTTTGAATTTTCACTTGAAGATTCCAATTTGAATTTTTGAATCCGGCTAGAGTAATAACTAGTCAAAATTTAAATTGCGTAGAAGATTCAAAATAATTTTCTAAATCTTTGTTTATTGGATAATGCAACAACAATACTGATTGGTGGTTGCTGGAAGGATGACCCATCTTGTAGGTTATGAATGGCTCTCCTGTCTACTTTTTATTATTATTTTTTTGGTTTGGGGGGATCGTCTTCTAGCTGACCGAAATAGTACTCTGAAATGATATTTCAATCATTGGTTCTTTGGTTTAATACTTGGTTGTGTGTCCCAAGTGATATGAGTTTAAAACGAGATATCTTAGTTAAAGCTCATGGTTCAATTTATACTATGCATCCGGGTAGTATTAAAATGTACCGTGATCTTTGGGAACATTACTGGTGGAGTGGCATGAAGAGAGAAATAGTAGCATTTGTAGCACGTTGCTTAGTTTGTCAACAGGTGAAGACAGAACATTAACATCCAGCTGGATTGCTGCAATCACTATTTATACCAGAGTGGAAGTGGGAACATATTACTATGGATTTCATGGTTGGGCTACCCCGTTCATTGAATAGTTATTACTCTATTTGGGTGGTGGTGGATAGGTTAACCAAATCAGCACATTTCCTTCGTGTGAAGACCACTTATACTTTGGAGAGATATGCCAAATTATATATGGATGAAATTGTGAGATTACATGGGTCTCCAGTATCCATTATGGCAGTCAAAGATCCAAAGTTCTAGTTTTTTGGAAAATTTTGCAGAAAGCAATGGGGACTACTCTAAAGTTTAGCACAACCTTCCACCCACAGACCAATGGCCAATTAGAACGGACGATATAAACTTTGGAAGACATGTTCAGTGGGTGAGTGGGTGTTTCTTAGGGTTTCACCACGGACAAGGGTATTAAGGTTTGGGAAGAAGGGGAAGTTGAGTCCTCGATATATAGGGCCTTATTAGATTATTGAAAGGATAGGTGTGACAACTTATAGGTTAGTGCTACCTATGGAGTTATCTCGACTACATAATGTATTCCATGTGTCCATGCTCAAAAAATATTTGCCAGATCCATCATTTGTGCTAGCTGATCATCCAATAGAACTGAAAGAGGATTTGACTTATATAGAAGAGTCAGTACAGATCGTTGATTGCATACATCGAGTATTACGTAATAAGACCATCTCATCAATGAAGGTCTTGTGCAGAGATCACTTTATTGAAGAAGCAACCTAGGAAAGCGAGAAGAAGACGATAATTCAGTATCCTCACTTATTTAAGGAAGGTAAATAAAATTTGGGGACAAAATTTTTCTAAGGTGGGTAGATTTGTGAAGCCTAAAGCATGTAAGGTAGATGCATTTAAATGTTATGGGGTTTGTGTGCAATTTGTTATTTAAAATTTTGGGGATGGGCATTAATTTAGGTGTTATTAGAGGGAGGAATAAGAAAAGAGTCAAATTTACTTGTTAAACCTCCTTTTTTTTTTTTTTGTAGTGGAAGCCACTCCACCAAAAAAAAATAAAAAAATAAAAATCCTACAAGTATATTTTAATAATCTAGTTATACAATATATTTAAAAGTCCTTGTCATAGTTAGGTGTCAAGATGAGAAGTATATTAGGTGTCCTAAAATGATGAATCTTTGTCGTGGTTAGATGTCCGAGGGGGGAAGGGTGCTTGGTGTCTCATTAGGTGTTAAGCATGCAATGGCGCTTGATGTCTCGTTAGGTGTCAAGCATGCGAGGGTGCTTGGTGTCCAACTAGCTAGGTGTCAAGTGTGCAAGGGTGCTTGGTGTCCTAGGAGACTAGCTAGGTGGTAAGTGTGGGAGTTGTGTGACACCCAAAATTTGGGGTCCTTTCTCAACCCGTTGATCACCCATCAACCCCCAGAATACCCCTGGATACTGTATAATCCGTTACCACATCGTACAACCCATAGGATTATATGGGAGATTTGAGAGTGTTTATTCATTCATGGTCTTATATTAAAATGTTTATCTCTTTATTATACCATGTTTGTACACTTTCCTTGTTATAATTGCGTGTTTGGAACTTTGTGACAAAGAAAGGGAGAAGTTTTGGGTTAATTTTGATTTGCTAGTTAGGATTAGTTGCATGGGAATAGAGTAAGGGTTAGGTTGTTGAAATACTTGGGGGGAGGACATATATAAATTTGACATAAATTCACTTATTTTTTTACTATTTTTCTCTTGTTATTTTATTTATGAATACCAACTAAGGGGGATAATTTGTTGTGTATTGTCTTTGATAAAGATATAGGTTCTTAAGTATAATGGTCTAACATTGCTCTTATATGCTACATATTTGTACTTGCATGATGTTAACATGAAAATGCTCTAAACTTCTGTTGTTGATAGTTATACCTGTGATGATGTTATGTATTGTTTACATATGATGCTTTTTATGAGGTATTGATTTGAGATGTGGTGTGTTGGATTATGATCTTCAAAGCTTTCATCAAGAAGATAGTTTATATATTGTGTATTGAGATAGACAACGTGGTACTAGGGTGTTGAGATTAGTTTATAATTTGTTTTGTTTTTATTAGTTTTCGAATTGTAACATTTAATTTGTTACTCTTGTATTTTGTCATGAAATTGCTAAAGGAGGAGATTGTTAGGAACATGTTTGTAATTGACTAATTTAAAGTCTTATGTAATCTCAACTTAATTCCATAGTCATCCAGTTTCAAAGATCAAAATATATAAGTGACTAAAAGGGAAAGGAGATCAAGCTACAATGCCACATCAAGATCATTTCGATGCACCTTCGAGTTTAGGGCAAAGGTAATGAACTTAGAAATCTATGAAAGTTGAAACCCTCGGTTTAATTCATTTAACTTAGGATGATTACGAAGAAAATGGAATTGGGAATTTATCCGCAAATGACTCATAGGGTTGTTATTGAAAATGTTTTCAAAACCTTAAATGCATTTTTGAAATATGGTTTGTTTCATTTATTGGATTCCACTTGAGTAACATCCTTCAGTGCTCAAGGGGAGAAGTTTTTACTTAGTTTTTGACTTAAAAATCAGTGGGAATCGCCCTTTACTCGCTTGCATTCGATTAGAGCTGTCTCTGAACACTTTGGGATAAAATCGAGAAAGACTAACAAGTGAGCAGTATAGATTGTCCTTTGGTCGCTCTCAAGTCGCTCGAGCGGTCTTGAGACTGCTTGAGCAATTTTGAGATAGCTTGAGCAGTACCTATTCTTCTGCTACGATTTGGATTCCTTTTTTATTCCAGCAGCCATTGTACTCCGACCACCCTCCTACTGTTTGAGTAGTCGTTTGCGAATTTTAATTTACTTGGTCCCCAAGATAAACCATATTTCAAGCTTATAAATAGATGGAGCCTTCCTAAGTTTGGGTAATCTTTTTTGTGAGCAAAATTCAACCTCTTATACTTTAGGAGCTTGAACACCCCTAGATCCCTAGAGACTAAGGCAAATTCAGGTTAAGATTCTAATCCAACTTCACACATTGGAGAGGAAGATCTTGGTTGGAGAATAACCAAAAGTCACTTTGAAGGAGTGTGCAGACCGAAGATCTTGGTGGAGAAGATTGCTTTAGCCCTAAACAATCTATTGCAATGGAGAGTGCAAGTCAAGTTATCCATAACATCGAAATGACTTTCGGTGAGGAGATCTATTGAAAGAGATGAACATCTAACCATGATATAGGTTGAGGTATAATTGAGTACTTATAGATCAACCTTGGGATAATGGATTAGGTTTTGGTTAACTTCGAGTGGTTCTCCACTGTTTTTTTTGGTTGGGTTTCCACATCAACAATTGCTTGTGTCTCTTTATTGCTTATTTGCTTACACACTCGCAATGGATGCACACACATGCAGAATGTGATTGATGATTTGATTGGTTAGCTTTCAAGTAGTTAATAGTGATTTTTGCCTTGCTTGGGATCATCATGAGAAATTGAGTGTTAATCGTTAATTGACAAATTCATTTCATCAATTTACATTACATGGTTTTTGGGTTATTGATGGGAAAAAAGGACTCTCAATTTGAATTGGTAAATTGATTTTAGAAAAGGTAATTTTGATAGAATTAGGTTAAAATTGGTGTTTGTTCAATCGTCAAATTTTAATTAATATATTCACCCTTTAGGTGGTGCTTGATAAAACTAAAAGCTAAACACTGAAAACTGAATACTGAATTTTAAGTGCTGAATACTGAATTTTTTAATTCGCAGACTGTTTGGTATCAACTAAAATTTGAGTACTGAATATAATCAAACTGTTTGACAAATATAAGTAGTTGAAATCTAAAAATTATTATTATTCTAATTTTGCCCTTTTCTTTAATTATCTATCCGCAACTGTCTTATTCCTATCACTACCATCACAACTATGGTGTTACTCGTAGCGGCGATGATGATGGTGGTGGTTGTGACATAATGGTGGTGGTGGTGGCGACAATGATGGTGATGGTGACGGTGGTGGCAACAATCTGGTGGTGGTGGCTGCGGCGGTGACATAATGGTAGTGGCGGTGGTGACAATGTTGGTGGTGGCGGTAATGACAGTGGTAGTGGTGATGGTGGTAGTTGTGGTACAATGGTGGTAGTTGTGGCATAATGATAGTAGTTATGGCACAATGGTGGTGGTGGCAGTGATATAATGGTAGTGGTGGTGGTGGTGGTGGTGGTGGTTGCGGCTGGTGGTGATGGTACAATAGTGGTGGTGGTGGTTACAGCGGTACAATGGTGGCGGTGGCGGCGACACAATGGCGGTGGTGATGGTGGTGACAGTAATGGTGGTGATGGCGACACAATGGTAGTGGTGGTGGTAGCGATGGTGGTGACGGTGGTGATGACACAATGGTGGTGAGGGTATATTTGTCTATTATGAAAAATTGATAAAATCTTTATTGACTAACATTTTCAGTATTAAGTGATAAGTTAGTGGCTTACTACTTAAAATTTTAGCATATTTTTAATAAATGTTTAAAATATTAAGTAATATGAGTTTTAGATTATCAAACGAATTTAATTTATTAAGCGCTTAAAGTATTCAGTTTTAATCGTTAAGTGGCATTATCAAACAACCCCTTAGGTAGTGTCTTAATCTCACGTGTTTCATCGTGATGGACGATCCAATCAGCATTGCATTTTCGCACAAGATCAATTCCTAAATATTTCTAATAGGTTACAATCATTATGTGTGCTTCGAAAAAAATGCCATTCATCATAATTCAAGTATGATAACCATTCAATCCAAAGAACTTGATTCTTATTAAGCTCATAATCTCAAAACATCAATTTCAAGTTTATTATACAAGTTCAATTCATCCCAATTCATTGCTTCACAATAGATATTCAATAAAGAATATACAATACACGATATATAGTGGTTCAACCCACTCGTCCTATGTCCACTCTTTCCAATAAGTGTGTGAATCACAAAGGACCGTACACCCCAAGGCACCACTTAAGGATTTGGTGAAAGTTTTCCTAGGCTCTCCTACAACCTCCATAGAAGCTACTTTATCTAGAATTTGTGAAGGTGTTCTACAGATCTACAACTGACCTAACCAAGTTCTTGCAGGACACCTAATTAGGGTTTGGTGAAGGTTTTCTATGGCTCAAATAGTGCACCTCACTTTTAAACACCAAATGAACTTACAAGTTCCTCCTAGAACTATGCCTCTTAATCAAGTGCAAGGATGTGTGTGGCATGCAAGAGTGTCTGAATATACAATTTTTTTTTTTTTGTCCTAATATACAATTAAATGAAGAGGAGACACAGTTGGAGAAGTTTTGGCAAAAAATTAAGTCTTCACAGAATACACCAAGCTCTCTTTGGTTTGAGGGGAAAAATGGTCTTTCTGCCCTTTCTCTCTCTTAGACCTTCAATGTGGTGTATGAGAGGGGTAGAACCCAAAATCCATCACAATGGTAGGGAAGGGGTATTCATAGGGGTGGATTCAAGCGGATAGCTCAATGGCTGGCGCTGGTCGACCAGCATGAGGGGTTGGTTGACCAGTCGATTCAAGTAGACAGCAGCTTACTGCCAACTCCAAGAATAAGGCAAGCCGGTCTTGTGTGTATAACTTACAAATGTGACCTAGTTGACCTAGACACATTCCGATTGTTCGAGTTGCCCTTCGCCTTGGCTCAGTTTGACCTCAATGTTGAGTTTTTGTTTCGTTGTTGCTTCAATGCTTCCGAGGGTTGTCCATAGCTCCTTCTTAGGATGTTTTCGTCACATACCATCTTAGAGCTATAGTACAAGTCATGAAAGTGCCAATCTACAGTCCTAGACCTAACATTATCTTCATGTAGTCTTGATGTGAAACAACTAGTCAAATAAGATTCTGGTAGATCATGTACCCGATTTGCCAAAATTTCAAACTTTGTTTGGTAGTCTCACACAAAACTAGTCTGTCGGAGCTTAAAAGAGGGAGGCTGCTGGATCTATTTCTTTGCATGAACCAAAACGTAAGCATAGAGCTTTGGTGAATTGCGGCCAAGACACAACACCTATTGAACGATCCATCTGTCGATACCATGATGTTGCGACTCCAGTTAGGTGAATAGATGCCAATGGCACCATCTGTGCATCAGTGAGACAATGGAGCTTTTGATGTTATTCAGCTCGAAAAACCCATCAAACTTTGGGAAATCAATCCGGATCGGCCACCCTTGTAGAATTAGGCCACTGCGTGGATTTATTGGTTGTTAGTTGGCTGCTTGCGGTTTAGTAGGAGCTGAACTTGCTGATCAAGAGGAGCATGAGGAGCCATCACCGTTTGGTCCAAGGATGTCTGAATCCCGTGGATGGCGTCTTTGATTTCATGAACTCTGCACGTAAGTTGATCCAACTGTGATCTGATTTGATCAACACGTTTGCTGAGTTTCTTCACTATAACCTTGATGATACTAGGAGCGAAATTGCTCTGATACTAGATAATACGATCCGAGGATAATGTGATCATTCATTCACTTCAACGGGAATCGTCCACCAAGTTTTATTGATTTTCTTCCTGCCAAAATAACAGGTTTACAAGCTAATTTAAAGTGAGAAGACTTCCCAGACTAGACTTCTTTGCCAATCGTAACTCTTGGCTACAATTACTTTCCTAATCTAATCCAATTACTCAAAACCTGTCCAGAACAACTGAATCTGGATAGATACAGTCAAAACTCTGTCAATCTAAGATAGAGTGTATAGGTGGAAGCCACGAGTATGAAGGGTCCTAACACTCAGACTATCCTACAGCAGGGGTGACCCTGTTAATATTTATGATCATAATCTAAATAGTGGTTAAAATTAAAATTTAGTCATGTAGAATTCATTTTTTTTTGGCTCTCTGACATGGAAAACTACTAATTTAAAATTTTGGATAGAAGCTTTTGTACATGAAAATTCCATCAACCGGTCAAATTCAATGACAAATGTAATTCAACTTGTTTCCAATTGAAGATATAGGGAAAGAGAATTGAAATTTGGTATTAACGACAAAATGTAATTTTCAGAACAAATATATGTAGGAGTTTGTATATGATGAATTGTCCCAGAATAAATGAGCTGCGGTTGAATATGATAGAGTAACAGAGTAATGTTTGAACAAGAAAATTTAGCAAGGCAACTAGGGTTATAGTCAGTTTCAAATAGTAAACTATTCCTACGCACTCTTATTTTAGGTTAAGTACTGTAACAAATAATTAAGCAAAACTCCAATCTAGATAAAAACATGGCCTTGACTTTAACTTAAGAAATACAAAATTAAACTTTGTAACTATTATTTGATATACAATTAGATAGAGGATTGATTTTTCAGGTTAAATGCTAGGGCCCAAAATATTTTTTCATCCAAAAAATTTCGTAAGGACGCCAAAAGTTTTCTTTGCATTTGGTGGCCTTAGGTAATAGTCTTAGTGGTCTATGCGTATGAAAGGCCTTGTCTGAATTAGCAGTGGATCAAGGATTTTCCTCTTGGCTATGGAAGGTGGGGAAGGGGAGCGGATAAATTTGAGCTGATTTTTAATGTAAAACTAAGTGGGCCTAGGTGGATTTCTAGGGATTCCATCACTGACTCCAACCTGCTTTAGTCCCTTTGTTCTTTTCCTATTTTTTTCCCTCTTCTTGTGTCACACTTTTGTTTGCTTTTACAAGAAAGATATGTATGTATTTGTAACCTATGTACGTATACATTACTTGACTAAATTGGCCTCAGCATGTGTACACAATCGAGGTGAAATGATAAATGTAAACTGATGTAAATAATAGTCTTTGTACAATGTTTTGAATCAAATCATAAGTGAGACTGATATTATTCAATTTTGATAATCTTCAGAATATATAAATGAACTATTGGAGGCCAATAGCAAAGGGGGTAAAGTGATGTGTGCTGGGACGTTCTTAAATACAAGATCATGGGATTCTGCACTTCTAGCTGCTGGTACTACACTATCAGCAATGAAACATATACTTGAGGGGCTTTGCAAAACTGCTTACGCATTGGTTAGGCCACCTGGTCATCATGCGCAACCTTTTCAAGCCGATGGGTATTGTTTCCTCAATAACACGGGCCTTGCTGTTCAATTTTCTTTGGATTCTGGTTTTGAAAAGGTTGCCGTAATTGACATTGATGTTCACTATGGGAATGGGACTGCGGAGGGGTTTTATCGTTCTGATAGAGTTCTTACAATTTCTCTTCATATGAATCATGGTTCGTGGGGTCCATCCCATCCACAGAGTGGAGCAGTAGATGAGATTGGTGAAGGAGAGGGGTTTGGGTATAATTTAAATGTACCTCTACCAAATGGAACAGGGGATAGAGGATATGAATACGCAATGACAGAGTTGGTTGTTCCTGCTGTTCAGAAGTTTGAACCTGATATGATGGTGCTGGTTGTTGGCCAAGATTCGAGTGCTGTAAGTTTCTTCGCTTATTACTTAATTAATATCTTCATTTGGGAGCATGTTCCAGACAGACTTATAGAATTGAGGACTATATTGCAACTACGGAATTGATTCAGAACAATGAGCTGCATAAATATAAATTCTGAGAAAATGATAAATCATTTATACTTTATATATCAAATGTGAACAGATGTGGATGCTTTTTAACAGACATGCAGTAGCAGAAGAAGAAAATTGGACACCTTAGATATATTGTTATGAAGTTTCTATGCATGTATTTCAGTTCGACCCAAATGGAAGGCAATGCTTGACAATGTATGGTTATCGGGAGATCGGGCGGATAGTTCATAGCCTCGCTGATAGGCACAGCAATGGGCGCCTTCTTATCGTCCAAGAAGGTGGATATCATGTTACGTACTCAGCTTATTGTCTTCATGCAACACTTGAAGGTGTGCTCAATCTGCCATTTCCTTTATTATCTGATCCTATTGCCTATTACCCAGAAGACCAGGCCTTTGCCATCAAAGTTGTTGAATCTATTAAAAAGTACCAAAAAAATGCTGTACCATTCTTAAAAAGCATTTGATCAGGAGGTTTCTTCTCTAAAAGCTTATCCTCCATTTCAGTTGTCGAGTATATTGTACTGTTCTATTGGTAACCGGGTCCGTGTTGAACAGTTTGCCTAAATTTTTCTGTGAATATGGCCTCCTTCCCTCTCCATTGAGCACACTCAGGTGAAGGTATAGGCAGGGGAGCGAGTGGCATCACTATAGCATCTCTAACAGGTGCGAGCAAGCTGACGTTATACGAATTGGTAAGATGCCATTTGTTGGGAATGTGGGGATCTTTGATATTTTGTATGGCATGCACTATTTGAGTATTGAAATGTTCAGGCAGTAGGTATTCCATTGTCTCGATTATTGATCTATCAGTTCAGCTACTGTCGTGAGGAGTGTATCCACTCCTTCCAGTTGGACTCTGAAGTTAGGAAGGTAGGGCACCCATGGCTCAGTCGATATGTTTATTTACTCTCCACTTTTGACAGAATAACAAAGCACCTTGCTTGACTATGGTACTACATTCCAGAATGTGCTTCCAAATGGATGAGTCCTGTGATTATTTGTGTACATGTAGGAATGAGTTCCTTATCAATAATTATTGTTGAATTGATTTATGTATCTTTCCAAAAGGCCAAGCCCCCTACAGCTTTTGGATGACACTTGCATATGTAGTCTTAGAAAGATTATAAACAAGTTAAAATTAATACATTGCCCCCTTAACTTTTTAAAAATTTCTATAGTAATCTTGTTCATTTTTCCTAAATCCATCATCTCCTAACCCATGAAAATAAATGTTTTACATTTGTATTGAATAAAATACATGTGAAATACCTGGATTTATACATTGACTAAAGACTATAATTCTCTTCTATTTAATATATTATCCTTATTTTTTGCTGTACAATTATATAGTTAACATTAACTCGTCATAGTCTAGTAAAGCACAGTTAGATGCAACTAGTAAATAGTTCTAACGCAAAAATAATTAACTCAACAAGAAAAAGGATAATTTCAACTAAACTTAGAAACAAAATGAATGATGATTTTATTAAGGAATATTTAATTTTGTGCATTGAAAAAATATTGCGAAGAAATTTACGATAGAGTCAATCACATATAAGCAACTTTTGAGAATTAAAGAACATCACATTCCACTATAATGTCATTCAGTCTTTGATTTTGTAATATTTTGTCCCCATTGACCTACAATCCTGGCTTTGCCCCTATTGACTACCATCGCTTTGTGTTCATCTGAATGCCCTCACTGGAATCTCCTGATCATGCTATCCATCTTATTACATATCCTCTGTGGTATTAGGAAGGACTGCATAGCTAAGTAATGTTAGAGCTGTGGATTTTATCAAGGTTGCTCTTCCGACATAAGAGAGTAGTCAACTTGTAGTTTTGAGTTGAGTTTGTCCAACAAAGGTTGGAAATCCTTGGTTCTCGATCTTCCAATGGGAGCCCTAAGTATGTTGCTTCTCTCTCTAGAACCCTTCTTCAAGCCCAAAATTCCTTTTAGAGTTCTGATCAATGGTCTGTGTTGTTGTAGAGGTTTTGTCTTTGTTTATTAATTGAACTGACCAGTCTTCATATTGTTACGAGGCAATTCCATATAGGTTTAGCTTCTTGGCTGTTTGCCCTTTCAAAAAGGAGGAGATCATCACCCAACATTAGGTGTGTAATTGGTTCACATCCCCTTTCTATTTTGATGCTCTTGAGGTTTCCTTGCATTGTTTCTCTATGCAACAACCTATATAAGATTCCAGAGCAAATGATGAATAAAAAAGTTGAGTGGGTCTCCCTACCTTAATCCTCTCTGTGGGGTTACTCTTCTTGAATGTCCACCATTAATCAGAATTAAAAACAAATACGATGCGATACATTTGTTTAATCCAGCGTGTAAATTGTGGAGGAAGAACCAAGGAGGTACAAAATTCTCAACATGAAAGACCGTTCCACTCTATCAAAAGCTTTAGCCGTTATCAATCTTAAGCATCATTAGTGCTCTTCTTCCTCTCTTTTTTTCGTAACTTAGTGAACTATTTCCCAAGTGAGTACCACGTTTTCATCAATGTTCCTTCCAGGAACAAATGCTATTTGGCAAGCTGATTGAGTTGGTCCAGGTAAGATAGGATTCTATTTGAAGGATTTTTGAGATGATTTTGTAACATTACATAGGCTAATGGTTTTAGCTATAAGGAAAATATTTGTTTTGTTGAGCTCAGTCAGCAGGTGTCCATCTAACTATTTTTATCAGATCCTATCCTATTGTGCTAGTAGGTTTTGTAAAATATCGAAAAAATACCATTTGGTCCAAGTTATTTGTAGGAGGGCATGGCAAAAACTATTGCTTTGATCTCTTCAGCATTAGGAATAGCACATAACAGTAAATGTTGATTGGTTGGAATTATTCGGGAAATTAGACACCATAGGATATAGGGAAAATTGGGGATTGGAAGACATAGGTACTGAAATCGGACCTAAAATAGTTGAGAAATCAATTCAAATATGACAAACTAAAGTTAGATAATACAAGAACTGTGCAATTTCCATGGTTGTGATAAAATAAGGTTTCAGAGAGAAGTATTGAACCATAATGATGTATTCTTTCTTTACTGGTCGACAAACTGCTAGTTGACATAATTTAAACCCTAAACCCTAATCTGTGGAAGTTAGAATTTTCTTGCCAGCTCATTGGTACAAATCGGGAAAAATTGAGAGTTAGGATAATAATATTTTTTCTCTTTTATGTCAAAATAGGTTTAATTTAAAAAAAAATTAAAAATCACATCCACAATCAAATACGTAAATGGAGTTTTACATAGAAAGGGCGATGAGAGAAAGGTGCTACAAAAAAAAGGAATTGCAACCTTTTTTTAATAATGGGGACACTAGGGCCAATTCATTTTTTTTTTGATTTAAATCCGACAATCGACAAACTTTGGTAAGCTTAAAAAATATAATTTTTGAAAAATATAATTCAATCATCTTTGATAGATTATACACGCCAAATCACACAAACACAACTTAGAGTGAGGGTGAATAGGTCTTTAACACTTCCCAAAGAAACATCCACCAATTTTAGACCTTAATTACCAATCAATTGATTAATTAAAGAATTAATGCTTGATGAACCCTTTTGTCAATAAATGCGTGGATGCAAGAACGTCCAATCCAACAATCTCAACAGCTCAATGCAAATCCACCAATGGCACTTACATCGATTCAAATTATAATGACGATAATATAAGATTAAAAAATTACATGAGCATCTCACCAAACACTTGCCGTGTGAAATTGCAAATGTGTATTTGCAAAATAAAGTAATAAACAATCAACCACAATACAAGACAGTTTTGACGTATAAACCCTTTCGAGATCTAACCTAATCCACTATACCCTATTGTTAATATTTAATCAGAATTAGACAATAATTATTATAACAAATTTCTATCTCTATGCATACTATTATATGCAAAATAATTGTATAAATTGGAGTGTATGAAACATAAGTGATGCACTTACTTGAATGTAGAACAACAAGAAGAACTAATAGAAATAAGAAATAATCTGAGTCTTGTGAAATACAGTTTCCTTAAGACAGATTTGTTCCATCTTGGTGCTCAAGCTTTATAAGCAACTGTCTCTCAAGATAGAATAGATTTCGTCTTTGAAAAAGTAGCACTTCAATTTCCAAAAACACCAATGAACACAATTAGTGTTTGCACTTGAATCAAATAGAAATGAAATGTAGAGAGAGAGAGAGAGAATGCAGGAATTTCAATGTTCGAAAATGGTTTCAAGGGAGTCCTTTTATAGACTCTATTCGGATTAAAGAGTCACTATTGTTCATTGTGTCTGTTCAGATTAAATTGACACTACTGTTCAATTAATAGTTACAAAAGAATAGATACTTTTGAAACTAGCGCCAAATTCAAAAATAACAGGCAAAAATTTGAATTTCAGTTGGAAGAATAAGAATCATCGGATTTTAGACTCGTTTGATTTGACCTACACACCGCTTTGCATCAAATAAAATTTCAGCAAAAAGATAGTTATTGTTGACCCAAGCCCCTAGCTCGGTCGGTGGCAGCAATTTGTGTAGGTGCTCGTTTTGCTCACAAAATTGTGGTACCTCTTGGGGCCTAACCCAAGAATTCAACTAAGAGTATATTAAGTCACTAAGTTTTTGGTTTCTGGTAAATGTGGGACAAGACTTGTTACACTACATCACATTATTCTTAGTTTCTTCAATCCATTCAAGTGGGTCACTTTAATATACAATTTCTCATTCAATACTTCATGGTTTTGAATAAGTGAATATATCACGTTAATCTCCTCTTGGAGGAGAACACATTTAAACATGGTCCTAATAATTTTGAGGTATGGGTCCCACTTTTATTAAAGGCCAAAATTAGTCCAAAAATCATTTTTTCCTACATACTCAATATAGGATTAAGAGTTCCAAAGTCTTAGACCTCCACCAAGTTCATTGCTAGACATTTTCCTCTTTGACAAGATGTCCTTTTGAGTCCCATGGAATGGTCTCAAGTACTAGAGTCAAAGGACGAATCTAGTTCCATGATTGACTTCTCCTCTTTCAATCTTCAAGGACTCCTCTCAATATTTACTCGATCTCCTTCACACATTGATGTGAGTTTGGTGAGTTTCTACTTGATCTCTCTTTTCTTCAAAATTTGAAGGCGATAAGTAAGATTGATCCTATAGATCTATGGTATTTTTGCTCTTGGGGAGGCTAGAATTTGTTTTAAAACTCTCTTGTAATTCTCTAGTGTTTTTCTAGTTGAAAAAGGCTTACCCTAGTGAGAAACTACCATCCCATATATTGGTCCCAAAAATAGAGTTTAATGGAAGCCTAAGAAAACCCAGATTCGTGATAGACTACTTGAGTTGTGAGAGGACGATCAGAAGGTAGTGGTTACTAGAATAAAAAATGAATCATTTAGGGCCTCAAGGGGGGAGATGGCGGTCTCCCCAATTCTCCAGTTCAGCCTCTCTTAGTGTTCATAGACTGTTTAGCTCGTAGGCAATTGAGTAGAGGGTAGTCCTTATTGGTTTTTAAGAAAAAAAAATCAAGCAAAACTTTTCCTATTAAGTACTAAAAGGTGGTGCTCAATCAGGGTTTGATCCATGACTCAATCTCTATTTTTCAAAACAAAATTTTATGTTTCAAAAGTATTTTCAATATAAATCTTATTATCTATGTATAGGACAATACTAAATCCATTTAATTAAATCCTAATGAGCCAAAGTAAAAATACCAAGGTTCACTTGTGGTCTCTAAGGCTTTACCTTTTCTAGGCATTGAAGGATCTTAGGAGGAAGGTGTAGCCACCAAACTCCCTAAAGTACCCTGAGCCTGCCCCATGTAATGTAGTCCGAACTGTCCCATAGTCTCGAGCATTTGCCACTCCAGGGAAGCTACACTAGCCAGGACTCCCCGTGACTTCCGGCTGAGTGCATCAACCACCACATTTGCCGTATCGGGATGGTAATACAAAATGAAGTCATAGTCCTCTAGGAATTCCATCCACCTGCGCTACCTCATGTT